GCAAGAGCGGATGTGGGTGTGAGGATAAACAAGGGACGGGCAGCAGGAACACGCCCTGCGGGCAAACAAGAAAAACGGTCACGTGGTCTCGTGAGGATGGTCGCTTGTAGCAAACACCAATGTTTCAAAAACACACATGTGTTGAAAAATAAACATTGGCTCTCGGCCCCCGGAAATTATACATGTCATATCCGAAAAGGCATGTGGAAGGCACCAGACTTCCACATCAACATAAATCCTAAAACGTGTGGCGCAGAAAAAAACGGGAGGACGCAAAAATACTGCGAGCCCATTCAAAAACGCGCCACAGTGGATGTCGCATGAGCAGAGATACGTGTGTGTGTTTTTGTAAAGGAAAACTCTAATTTACGCTTTACAGCATCTTACTCTCCTTTCTATTGTCAGAAGCCGCCGTTCAATGACCGTCGTCTTCCTCATCATCCTCAGAGCGGATGTCATCAAGGGGACCACCCAAAAGCGCCCGAATCGCCAGCTTCACAATCAGTGCAAACCAGTACAAATGCAGTCCCTGCAGCACCACCTGCAGGAGGACAACCAAGACCCAGTAGCACACCGTGAACGTGCGTATCTTCACCGCAAGCCCGACGCTTGCCAATGCGAGGAACGGGAGACAAATGAGGCGGAAGAAGACAAACAGCGCAACAAATACGACAAACGAGAGGAGCACCGTCGTGCTGCTAAAAACAAGTCTGTAGAGACGGCATGCTGGGGGCCCTGCAGGTGCAGCACCCTTTCCTCCGTTCCGAGCGGCTCGCTGCTCCCGCGCCTCTGCCGCCTTCACAACGTAGCTCAGGGCCTTGCTCACCGCAAGCATGATGTCACTGGCGTCGTGGATGAACAGTACATAAACACCAAAGCGATGCTCGTAGCTGCAGTGTGAGAAGACGATCAGGGCGATGGTCACAATGTGGTGGATCACGTACTCCAAGAAGTCCGAGCGCTTTATGTCGTGATCCGCGAGGTGCGAGAAGCACTCCGACAGGTAGAACCCAAGGCCGTACTGGTAGTAGAGCAGTATCCAGCGCCCGGGGTTGTACGGGTGCGGCGAGAGGATGTTGATGCGATTCGCCTCGCTGAGCGGGAGCCCAAACCACGGCTCGCCGCGCTGCACCATGTACCCAAACACGGTCGACGCGGTGTAGCTCACGGCAAGCCACAGCTGAGTCTGGAACTTCCTCAGCTTCTTGCGCTGCCCCCCGTTCAGAAGGATCGCATTGGCGCCAGTGCCCGCACACACCTTCTTTTGGCTGGTCCTCGGCACCACCACCTGCAGCTGCACGCCGAGCCACGCGAACCTCCGCTGGAAGAAGAGGCGAACCGCAATGAGCACGACGGCCCACAGCAGGCACGGCAGCAGCTGTGGCAGCGCCGCGGCGTCGAGCCCGACACCTCCCCAGCCGTTCAGGTGCACCTGCAGGGAAACAGGGTTCGTCACCAGCCACCACAGCTGCTCCCCTGTGAAGGTCAGGTTGCTGGCGTGCCGGTCCATCGCGGGGTCGCCGGTGTGGTTGTAGTGCGACACGAAGCCGTACTCCCTGGCGCGGTCGAGGGGCATCGCGTACATGTTTGCGGGGAGTCCTACGGTGCCATCAGTGAAACGCAACGTCCCCATGACTTCTATTCGGTGGTTCCTTCGATCGTTTCCCACCGGGTCTTTCTTTTTGCCTTATCTTCGCTGCTTCAGCTGCCACAGGGCCCGGCGCCGCAACACACACGCGCAGAGTAAAAGAGAGAGAAAAGAGGAAAGAAAGAAAAGTATTGTACAAATGTGCTTGTTGATGTCATGCCAAAAGCTTTTTTCTTACTATAAAACACCGGAAAAAATTATGGGCGTCACGATGGTGGCAGGGTGGGGAATGGCTCGAATGATTCATAACACGGTTTATTTCTGTTGCTTATTTTCCTCTCTTGCTTTGTCTTCGTGTGGGAAATGACGAATGATCAATAACAGGGTGTCCCACTGCACTTTCGTAAATCGGCTAGTCCTGCAAATGTATTTGTGCCTGTAAATCATTTTTAAACGTATTTCCTCTTTTGCACTTCAGAGGGAGGTGGAAATGGCCGCAGAGAGTGCAGTGGGGGAAAAAAGCTTTAGCCAAGGCAACGAGCGCGGTGGTGGTCCCTGGGGCGCGTAGCAGAGCTGCCAACCGTACACCCATGAGAAGGCGGAGCCAAGACGCAAGTAATCTCCCAGAGTGGCAGCAATAAAAAACAACTCGTCGTGGTTACCCCGGCGATTGCCTGGCGTCGCACTTTCCGCATCTCCTGCCTGCTGGTATCGCAGGCGTCCCCAAATTTCGGGGTTATCGTTCAGTGTCGTCGGCCCAACGGAGCCGGCAGCTGTCATGGGGCAGATGTACACAAGAAGCACTTCACACGCCTCGCCACCAAAAAACAAACTTTCAGAGTCATTTGATTTGTTTACAGCCTCGTAAAGTGCGGCGTACGAGGCGTACGGTGAGAAAAGAAAAAGGCGGACTGTTGGCTCCTGTGCGGGATCTCTTCTGCCTGTGGTGTCACTCGCATCATTTTTGGCGGTGTTGTCTTCCCCATCACCCTGCTCACTATAAATTATCTTCTTTTCACGTTGACGAGAAAGGGCATGCTTTGCCGCTGCTACCCTTGATTCCAATGGGAGATCCTCCGTGATCTCAGTAATGGATTCAATCGCGTTAATACATATCGTGGTGAGAGGATGCAGAGAGGGCGAAGATGCTGCGAGACATGCACTGTTGCGCGGACACCCCTCCCAAAACTCCATGGCGGGAGGTAAACCACCGACTACAGAAAAGGGCTCGGAAGCTTTTGTAATGCCCATGTCAGGCAGAAGCCTGAGCAACGCGGATGGAAGGGCGAGTTGTGTGAGGCACTGGGTCCCCTGCTCCTGCTCCGCGTGAGGGCACCTCCAACGGCGGCTCCACTCCTCCGCAGGCTGACGCAGCGTCGCGAGGCTCCTCTGCATCTCCAGAGCGCCTTGCTTCAGCACGTCCTCCATGCTGCTCGCAGGCAGCAGGTCCGTGAGCGCCCTGCAGCGCACCGCAATTCCCCTCCGCTGCAGTGCAAAGAATGACAGGCCGTGCGCCTCCGTAAGCCGCTGAACGGAGGTCAAAAAGAGCGTTGCAGCGGACGCCCTGACAGAGAGATTCACAGGAGCGTGTTTCTGCTTCACAGCCCTCTGCTCCCTCACTTGCATGATGTTACACCACCGTACTTTTTAGCCTTCTGCACGTGTCACGAAGCCGCCGCAGCGCAACCCCCCTTCTTCCCCCCCCGCTCCCTCAAAAAGAAAAGGAAAAGAAAGAAAAAATAAAGAACTCCAAAAGAAAAAAAAAAGAAGAAAAGAGGACTCCGGTCGGAGGCTCAAAACCCTCATGCTACACGCCACGCCTCGGCCACACACTACGGGGAAAATTCAGGCTTTGTACACAAACCGTTGCTTCTGCGACGGGTCCCTTTGCACGAATTCCTTCTCGATTAACATTTCCAAAGCCAACTTAAAGTCACTGTTTTGTAACTGAAACTGGGGATTTTGCTGCCGTGTCCAACAAAAGAGCTCATCGTACAGACAGGTACGCACGCTCTTCATGTGCTTGATGATGACTGCCTGTATGGAAGCTATGCGAGAGCGATGCACTTCTTCGTTAATAATTCCGTTTTCCTCCAATAACGCCCCAACCCGCGGCGGCGGTTGAAGGAAGTTATAGCGCGGCTTGTGTGATTTAAAGGCGGCATTCAATGCCACGCTCTCCTCCCCAGAGCCCATTTGTATCTTGAAGAAACCGTCATGGATGAGTTTCTTCAGTCCTCGCTGCAACAGAGTTTTGTCTTTGCCAATGCGCTGGGCGAGAAGCGTCCACGTCGTGCCTGAAGTACCCGCCTCGCTGAGAAATTGGAAAATATTAAACAACTCCAACGAGCCTACAATGACCTTCCCTGCCTGCGGGTATGCTACGGTGAAGGTGATGGTCTCCATGGAGGTGCGAAGCCACACAACGCGCCGATTACTGTACTGCGCGTGATAGAAGCGCGCAAACTGATCCATGGCATTATGCAGAGGTTGTGGCACATCTGTAAGCAAAGGATACGAGGGCCACGCAAGGCGTGAAAGAAGCCTCAGTGTAGGCCGGACAGTAACAGTCTCTGCACCGTGTCCACACTGCTCCGGTTGTAGTGCCTGTGGATCATATCCCTCAGGCGCATTTTTACCGGTCTCCATGTCCATACACATCTGAATCATCTGCTGTATTGCGTTGCGTTCGAGTGGAAGCAATTCATGCAGGTACTTACACACCAGCTTTTCCGTCTGCAGTTTCTCCCGCCGTGCCTCCATTGCGTCCACACTGCCGTCACGCGCTCGCCCCACCGCATAAAAGAGAAGTCGATAGGCAAGAAGTTCCTTGTAAAGACGCAAAAATCTGTCGATTGAAGAGACACTAAAAGCAAGTCGCACAGCCGACATTACCTCGTCCTCGTTGTGCAGCGACACCACCACCGTTTTTGCCCGTCCACCACCGCCAACACGTCGCACCTCTGCCTCTTCATGGCTTCCGTGCAGAAGATACGCCTGCATGATGCCAAGAAGAGTTTCAACAAACAAATCCGCACTCCTTTTTCGTTGCAGTTGATTGGCAATGGCGTTTTTCGCAATGCCGTAGAAGCATGGCACTGCGCTGCAGTTGTCAAGCAGCTTTGCCTTCAGCAATCGCATCTCGCACAGGCGATGGAACACATGTTCAGTCCGAATCAGGTAGGCGATAAGCCGCGGCCACCGCTGTTCTTCAGGGATTTCACCTCCGCTAAGAAAATGATCCACCGCCGTGGGAAGTCGTACCTCCAGAAATGCACGGCACACATCCGCCATCACAACGTACCCAACCTCCCTCGGAATGCTGCTCGGCAACGCTGCGCCAGCCCCAACTTGATCCCACAACCGCAGCGTCCGTCGTGGGGGTGCCTCAATGCAGGCCATGCTATTGGCGATGTCAAGCAACAGTTCCAAGGTGCTTCGCGTCTCACTTTCCTCCGCGGCGGCATCAAGGGCAAACAGTGCATCAAGGAGAGGCTGGAGAGTCGCCCGCATTAGATGGAAGATATAATATGGACGCAGGCCACATGGGGCGTTGGATGTTTCTTGCACGGAAACATCGTTGCCGGTTTCCCAGAAGAACACAAGCTTCACAAGGATGCCTTTAACACATGCCTCCTCCACAGCGGGCAGCTCACGCATTACCTCAAGCTCATTGTTCCAATACTGTGGCCATATCTTGAGAAGAAATACATGACGTGACTCCTCGCTGATGCCAGGTTCCAGCAATGACAACAGCGCTTCCCGCTGAAAGAACCCTCGGCAGCCATGCACGACACTCTGCAAGACTGTTATCACAAGACGCTCCTCTGCATCTCGTGCGGGATGCGAGAAAAGCTGAATAAGCTCAGATATGTCCACAGAGGGATTCCCAACTGTCAGCTTCTGCCGTACCTCTTCAACTACATGTAACGGATTGCCATTATTGTGGCAATGGGGATGCACAGTAGCGAAATGTTCACATCTTAACACACCATACCTTCGCTGTCGCTGGCACTGCAGGACTTTCATCAACAGACGCTGCAGCACATTTAGCTTCAGCCTATCACTGAGACTACTTCCCACATCTTCTCTTATCACCTCACTGAGTGTCTGCGCCCAATATTCCTGGCTTTTTGACAAAAACAAAAAGGCCACCAACTTGGGAAAGCGGCGAAGTGCTTCTCGCAACTCCATAGCATAATCTGCCGCCCGCATCACTCCTCCCCTTTCACAATTTTGCCTTCCTGTATCGTTGTTAATTTCTTCTTCTTCTTCGTCGTCCTCCTTCTCCATGTGTCGGTTAATCTCACAAAACTCATAGAGAACCATGCCTTTAACCCAATACCGCAGGAGGGCGTGAATGTCGTGCACGCCGTGGAGGGTGTGAAAGATGCGCTTGTACCACTTGAGGTGCTTCTCCCGAATGGTGCGAAGGGCGTCCCCCTCGCGGCGCCTCAGCAGTACTTCAAGATTAAGCGTCACGGTAAAGAGCTCGCGGAGTGACGGGAATGTCTCCAGTAGACTGGAGGCGCATGGGATGCGGGGCGAGAGAGCCTGCACACCGAGGGCACCAAAACTCTCGCGATCTACCGCAGCGTACGCCTCGCGGAGACGACTGGCAGCCACCACCTCCTCACATGGCCGATCCCTTTCGTCCTCCTTTTCCTCATATTTGCATGACTCCTCCACCATTGTTGTCCGCTGATGCTTCTTCCACCCCCTTCTTCTTCTTCGTTTCACAAATTTGATGCGTGCTGAAAACAACCCAGACACTAACACGGCCTGCACCGAATGAAGGCTGAAATAAAAAAGGGCCAAACTAACACTGTGCTGCAGACGAAGCGAGTGAGGGAGAGAAAAGAGACATGGGCACCTCATCGCACTACAGCCAGCAGCCATCAACACGCACAGAGACACGCACGCAAATACAAATGTAAACAAACAACGGCCTCTCAAAGCACCCGTAAGAGGTGGAGAGAGCCAAAAAAAAGTATATGAGAAAACAAACAACTAATCAAACCGTAAAGGCAAAAAAAAAAAAAAGAAAAATACATCACAATATATTGATGTATATTCAAAAGGAACCATCCTCAAAAACAATGACGGCTCTATTACAACCATATTTTCCTTCTCCACCGTTACGTGTCCATTGAGGTCACGACTTTGAAATTCCCCTTGAATGTGGGGCCACTTTGATTCCCTACCGTCGATGGGGTTGCTGCGAGCGGTGAATGCAATGACACAAAGGCATGGGGAACAGGCTCAGAGGACGGCATACTTCCCAACGGTACTGCTGCAGGCAAAAAAAGCACACCGCTGGTGGATGGTGCAGCTGTTGCGGCAGACGCCCCAATCGGTGGCATACGCGGCGTCCCATCGGTCGCATCGCTGAGTGCGGCTGTTGGGTTCTTCTCAAAATCACAAATAGACATCTCCCCATCATCACTGCACGTGGAATACACGGTGCTACCCACGTCTGTCGTAAAATGCCGCTGAAATGACGGCCAGAAGGGGTCGACAACTTTTCCTTTCCCCATTTTGTAACCGCCGTCTCCTGAAAGCGCGCCATCAGCGTGGCACACGGCCTCATCAGAGCCGTTGCAGGACATAAGCAAATTGTTGAACGTGTAACCTGAGGCTTCAACGCTATTCTTCTCGACGGCTTCACTCACATCGCCTCGTCTCCAGCCGTCTTCGCTCGCCTCAGAAGTATTTGTCTGCATTAACTCGTCATGCAACATAGAACTGCCGTGGTGTACCTTTTTCCCGCAAGAAAGAGGCGAACAATTCGTCATAGAAATGCCAATATCGATACAAGGCGTGGAACGTGTTGCAGCAGCAGCAGCAGGAGCAGCGGCAGGAGCAGTAGACTCACTCTCCGGTGTGACGGGCCGACTGAAACTTTGAAAACTGGCCTCCTTTTGCAACTCGCTTCCACCATCCCGCGGCAAGTACGATGGATGCGTCACGAATGACGTGCATGGAGACTCTCTTGCGACGTCCCCACAAGACTGCACCACCAGCCGCTCCGGATCGTCCCCGCGCACCACCACGCCGGTCACCGCCCCCGCGGCCTCCACCGGCTTCACGGAACATGCCGCCGCTTTGATGTCCCTACGCACGCTGCTGCCGTCTTCACTGCTGTTGTCGTCCAAATGCACCTCACGACTGCGGCTCAACACCCCCACCACCTCCTCCCCGTTACGACGAACATGATGGTTTGTTGCTTTACTTGGCACCCCATGTCGGTTTTCTTCTTCTTCTTCTTCTTCTTCTTCTTCTTCTTCTTGTTGCTGTTGTGGATGCGGCTCCACCACGATGTCCGGGAGTCCCACTTCGAGTAGCGCCTCTTTTCGTTTCCCCTCCCGCCACAAGTTCAGGACAAAGCAGGTTAGTGTAACGCCAGCCAGAGATAGAATCGCCACCCAAAGAGGAAGAAAAAACATCTCCCCCCGTCAACGTGTTTAATAAAAAAAATGCCGCACAAACTTTCACCTCCTCTTCTCTTCCTACTCGTTAGAGTGAGAGAGAGAGAGAGAAAGGCAGAGGATGTGTGTGTGGCCTTTGGATGCGGCATGAACATGCGAGCAAAAAAAGAAGAAGAGGGAAAAAGAAAAAGACATGCACATGACGGAGGAGAATACATGAGCCACTGGGGGGAGGGGTTCATTCCTTCCCACCAAAAAAACAACAACAACAACAAAAAAAACAACACCATCCGTGAAATAGACTGGAGGGAACCGACAACACAAAAAAGGAATGGAAGGAACCACAACGACCTCGTCAAGTTCAAAGTGAGGGATAAAGGCGTGATCAACAACAACAACAACAACAAAGCATGCACACATACGCACACACAAAAAAACACACGGAAATATATATATATATATATATGGAAAATCAAAAAATCGCGCGCACGGAGGGAGTAAAAATGGGTAAAGCAGCACAGAAAAAAAAAAAAAACTTATGAAAAAGGACTATTTCTTTTTTTTTTTTTTTAGTTTTAAATTTTCTTCTTCTTTTCCTTCTGTTTTTTTTTTTTCTTCCTTTTTTCCTTTTGTTTAGTCGCTGCATTCTCTCTCTGTCTCCCTCCCTCCCTCCACGTTCCCTGCCCATTGAACCATTAAGTACACATGCACAGTCACACAGATACCGTGAGGAAAAAGAGAAAGGCGTAAGGGAGGCGGGCAGGGGATTATTCCACACGGTGGATGTCCCCTGATGTAAAGAAAAAGTCCTGAGAGTCCACACACACACACAAAAGAAGTGCCCAGTTGAGATTCCCCGCCGTCAGGGAGGGAAACAAAAAAAAAAAACAAATGATTGAGTACATGAATGAATGAATGAATAAAAAAAAAGAAGGGAGAAGGAGTGGCCGCTGTTGCTGCCTTTCATTCCATGGCCCGCCGCGGGTTCTCGAAGCTCGGTCCGTTTTTACGTTTGAGGAGAGGTGTAAGAATCCACTCCAGCGTGGACTTACTTCTCGCCAGATGCTGCTGGCACAGTAACGCGTCGTATTCGGCATCGTCATCAATGAAATACACGACGCCCTCGTTTGCGGGGTTCAGCAGGTACGGCAGGCCCTTCCCGTACACTTCGTCCGCGTCCGGCTGGGCCTCCCTCTCCCTCGCCTCCTCCTCCTCCTCCTCTTCCTCTTCCTGCAGATGCTGCAGCTGCGCAAACAGCGTATCCACCGTCTCGCCACGCTGCAGGGGCTCGCTGCCCTGACG